AAAAAAAAATATTTGGTGGCAAACGGAAGCAGCAGCAAGATTTTGCTTACCAGAGTCAACAAGGTTTACATGGCTTGCTTGATATCAATTGTTCATGATAGTCTTTTTTTTAAGTTTATTTATTTTGAGAGAGAGAGAGGGAGAGAGAGAGAGAGCACGTGTGCAAGCGGGGGAGGGGCAGAGAGAGGGTGAGAGAGAATTCCAGGTTCCGTGCTGCCAGCGTGAAGCCCAACACGGGGTTCAATTCCACAAACTGTGAGATCATCACCTGAGCTGAAATCAAGAGTCAGATACTTAACTGACTGAGCTGTCCAGGAACTCCACGATAGCCTTAATGAGGGAAAGAACACAGCTTAACAGCTGAGTCTTAAAGTGTGAAAATGAGTTCCAACTTAGTCTTCCACAAAGTTATCCTTCTTTATTCACTAGTCGTAATGGTGGAATACAGCCTAGACCCTCTTTTAACAAACTCAGTGACCCATGGTGCAGTTCCGCAATGTCATCTGCTTCTCCATAACTAGGTTCTCTCATCAGGCAGTTGTGCATTTTGCATAATTTAGAAGGTTGTGAAAAAAAAAGAAAATTAAGTTCTTTTCTGTTTGAAGTTATTATTTTCTGAAGAAATGAAGGCATTAGAGTTGCACACTCCAAAAATGGATTCTTATGTTAAATACTATTTACCCATGATAAAGAACATTTATAAAAAACCTACAACTAGCTAGCATCATACTTAATTGTGAAACACCAAATACTTTCCCTGAAGATTAAGAGCAAAGCAAGGATGTCCACTCTCATCACTCTTATTTAACACCAGACCAGAGGTCCTAGCCAGTGCAATGAGGTATAAGAAAAAAAAAAAAGGGGGGGGGGGCATACAGATTAGAAAGGAAGAAATAAAACTGTCTTTGTTTGAAAGTGATAGGATTAGAGCACTGGGTATTGTATGGAAGCCAATTTGACAATAAATTTCATAAAAAAATGAAAGTGATAGGATTAACTAAATAGAAAATCCCAAGGAATCTCCAAAACCTTCTACAGCTAATAAGTAAGTTTAGCAAGGGTGCAGGATATAATATTAATATACAAAACAACTGTATTTCTATGTACTAGCAACAAAAGTAAAATTTAAAAATCAGAATAATTTATAATAGCACCAAAAACCAGGAAATACTTAACATATAAATCTAGCAACATGTACAAATCTGTGTGCTGAAACTATAAAACATTAATGAAAAAATAAAAGAATACCTAAAAAATGGAGAGATATATTGCCTTAATGGACTAGAAGTATGATTAAGTATTACTAAGATATCAATTCTTTCCAATTTGATCTACAGATTATAATGCAATCTCAACCAAAATCTCAGCAGTAATTTCTGCAGATATTGACATGCTAATTCTGAGACTTACAAGAGAAGGAACTGGAATAGCTAAGACAATACTGAAAAAAAAATTTGGAGGATTCACACCGCTTGATTTTAAGACTAACTATGAAGCTACCATAATCAAGACTGTGTGGGAATGGTGAAAGGTAAGACATAGATCAATGGAAAGACTGGAGAGCTGTATACTATGTACATGTGGAGAGAACTGTACACATACAGTGAACTGATTTTTGACAAGGAATAGTTTTTCTCTTAACAAAGGTGTTGGACCTCCATGTGTGAAAAGGAAAAAAAAGTCTTGACCCATACTTCACATCTTACACAAAGGCTACCTCAAAATAGGTAATAGATCTAAATATAAAATTATAAAACCTCTAGAAGAAACACAGGAGAAAAAATTTCATGGTCCTGGGCAAAGATTTCTCAGATATGATCTCAAAAGCATGATCTATAGAAGAAAACCATTGATAAAATGGATTGCATAAGAATTAAAAATTTTTATTCTGTGAAAGACACTATTGTAAGTGGGAAGCCAAGCTAAAGACTGGGAGGAAATATTTGTAAATCATATATTCAACAAAAGACTTACATCTAGAATACATAAAGAACCCTCAAACTCAACAACAGGAAAACAAATAACCCAATTAAAATGAATACAAGTTTTGAATTTCACCAAAGAAGATATAAAGACAGAAACACATTAAAAGATGCTCAACATCATTAATCATTAAAGAAATGGAAATTAAAACCACCAAGATATACAACTATGTATCTATTAGAATGGCTAAAAAACACACACAAAGAGATGATATCAAATTCTGATGAGCATATGGATCAACTAAAACTCTCATACAATGCTGCTGGAATTTCAAATTTGCAGCAATGTGGATGGAACTGGAAGGTATTATGCTAAGTGAAATAAGTCCATCAGAGAAAGACAGATATATGTATTCACTCATATGTGGATCTTGAGAAACTTAACAGAAGACTATGGGTGAAGGGAAGGGGAAAAAAAAGTTACAGAGAGGGAGGGAGGCAAACCATAAGAGACTCTTAAGGACTGAGAACAAACTGAGGGTAGATGGGCAGTGGAGGAGGGGAAAGTGGGTGATGGGCAGGAAGGAGGGCACTTGTTGGGATGAGCACTGGGTGTTGTATGTAAGCCAATTTGACAATAAATTATATTAAAAAAAAAAGAAAAAATGGCATAGCCATTTGGGAATAAAATTTGATAGCATCTTATAAAGTTAAACATACATTTACAATAGCCAACAATCCTATTCCGAGAAATTTACCTAAGAAAAATGAAAGTTTATATTCATACAAAAACCTGTAAAGAAATATTTTTTAATAGCTTTATTCATAACCAACAAAAAGTGGAAATAGTGCAAATGTCTTTCAAATAGTGAATAACTGCAATGGAATACCACTCAGCAACAGAAAAATTGATAAGTGCAACAACATGGATGAACCTCTGGATGGCATTATGCTGAGTGAAAGAAGTCAGACTCAAAAAGCTACATTCTACATTATTTCATTCAAATGACATTCTGGAAAAGGCACACCTACAGTGATGGAGAACAGACTGTCATAGGTTAAAGGTAGGGGGAAGGTTTGACTACAAAATGGTAGCATGATGGAATTCTTAGGAATTTCAAAAATCTTGATTGTGGTGGTGGTTACATGACTATGTGTTTATCAAAATTTACAGAACTTTAAATCACAAAGAATGAATTTTGCTCTTTGTAAACTTAAAAACAAACAAACAAACAAATAAGAATTTAAAAATTATTGTCTGTCTGGTCTGTTCCTCACTGTTACAACTACTCACTACAAGACCACTGGTTATCTCAGAGTCACAGGGTTAGGAGGGAGCTTACTGGGAAACTGGTACAGTCTCCAATCCAATACATAAATTTCTTCTAGAGGTCTCCTGGGAGCTTCTGCTTGAGAATCACCAGCAAAGAACTCCCCATCTCCCAAAGCAGGCTAGCTTACACTGGACAGTTCCTGTTGCTAGCAAGTTACTTCTTTTATTAGCTAAAATCAGCTTCACTGACCACTATTGGTCCTAGTCCTATTCCTTGGTGCTACACATAAAAAGGCAGGGGCCATCTCCTCTGCCTTAGAGGTGGCAGAAGATATGCACAGAGGAACAGTCTGAAGTGACTTAGTCAGAAGCTAAGGGCTTATACCTTCTGGACCCACCCCTCTGTGCAGGAATCTATGAAATTCTGGGCTATGAGCCATGAGATGTCATCTGATCTTGGCTCTAGCCCTAGAAATGCCTGGACCATGCACCAGAGAGGAAGGGTACTATGCTCCCAGGGCCTCTCCTGAATGAAACTTGATCACAGTCTCAGTCACTCTCTCCTTGAACAGAAAATTTCTTTATATCATGTTCATTCCTTTCCTATTATTCTTTTCTGACCTCTAGCTACGTGAAGAAAATCCACAAATCAATTCTGGTCAGCAATTAAGGGAAAACCCTTGAACAGGATTCAAGATGGGCAAGCCAAGATGGGCTGTAGCCATTCCCACTAGAACCATACTCTGGCCATCTGGATCACCTGCCTGGGCAGAAGGGGTCCATCCAGAGGAGAGAAGGTGTCATCTTACCTGTTTAAAGTTGCCATTTTTCCTCTGCTCCCAGTCCATCATGTCATGAAAGATGGGAATCATGATGTTCCGTACTTCTGGCTGTGGGACCAGTGTCACACCCAGAAAAGGACCAATCATTCCCGGAATAAAGTGGATCTTATGTTCACCTGAACAACAAAACCCAATACATATTAGTTTATGCTTTCTTTGCTCCATCTATAGAAGCTTCCCAAGTGTGGCCATAGCAGATACTTTCATCTGCCCTGGAAACATTGAGAGGAAAGCAAGCTCTCCCCTATGGCTCTCTGAGATACTCTTTTCCTTGGCTTTTTAGAATTCATAGATAAAACTGGCCCATCCCAGCTAAAACAAATGTTCAACAGGCATAAATTGCCTTTCCAAAGAATTTATGGGGAAACTACCCAAAAATCATTCCGAGGTCAAGGAACAGAGTTCACTACTTTAGACAGAACAGGATTTCTGAGTAACCTATGACAGTTTCATATTGTTCAGCATTTATTTAGCAAGGAATATTTATCCATTTCTGCTTAAACACAATGCACTATCCCTGGGGTCTCTACCTCTAGCCCAAAGGCATTTAAGAGATTCTTAAATACTGAGAACAAACTGAGGGTTGATGGGGGTGGGTGAGAGGGGAAAGTGGGTGATAGGCATTGAGGAGGGCACCTGTTGGGATGAGCACTGAGTGTTGCATGGAAACCAACTTTACAATAAATTACATTTAATATAAAAAATAAAAATAAATAAGTGATGAGATTTTCATAGTCCCTGGTCCAGCCACCAGAGGCCTGAAGTTCATGGGCCTCTTCAAAGTCTGTGCTCATGTCTGCCCAAAAGGCTTCCTCCTGAGTTAGCAGGAGCCTCCTGCACAGCCCTACTTGGACAGAATGGCTCAGGGACTCTGTCTGTGCTCCTCCCCATGTCTGTCCCTTGTCTTCACATTGCACTCTGATGGTAGCACTGCATCTACACAGACTAGACCAGCTCATCCCCCAACATTCTTTCCATGGGAAGTGGGTGATGCAGACTTCCTTGACTGGCCTGCAATCTGGAGCATGTTCGCAGAAGCCAGGGCCAGTCCTGAGGACTGTGGGACAGAACTTTTCTCTTTCTTGCAGTGGTGGAACAGAGTGAACCATGTTCCAGAGCTTTACTTTCAGTCCTTCAGAGTCTATAAAGGAGACAAACTGTGGACCAGTGTAATGATTGCTATAGCCAAGTAAAACCCGTTCTTGAGGACCAGAAAATGCCATTTACACTCAAACACACACACACACACACACACACACACACGCACACGCACACGCACACGCACACACACACAAGATAGAAGCAAGAATAGCTTTATCAGGCAAATTTGGCATCTTTTTTGGTTTCTTCTATTGTGAAAGCCTATCTAAGGGGCCAATATTAGCCCTGAGGCTGATTCTACATATCCCAATCTTGGTATTTGGTACAGTTTATTAGTACCTTGTGTTCCTGGGAATTTCAGAGTCAACTTCAGGGTTAAGACCTATACCCAGACTATGCTGGATGCAGGGTGTAAGAGTACTGAACTGGAAAGCCTGCTTGGTGAAATGTATCCCCACTCACAGAAGGAAGCCCTAATCTTCACTGGCAGGAATGCCTCCCACCTTGTTTGCTGCTTCAGGGTTAGTGACTGAGATGGTTAATGGAGGACTGGAAGATTTTATGACCACCATTCCTAAGGCTTCAGAGGCATTAACTCAGTTGAAAACAGTAAGAGCTAGGAAGGGTAATGGCTTTTCAGGGTAACAGCTTCTCTAGTATCCTGAGAGGCCACTCAGAAGCCTATAATACCAAAGGATGGCTCTCCTAGTCACCAGGGCAATACAAGGATTCCACCAAACAATCTGACAATTTCAGATCCAAAGAACTGGGTATTAGAGAAGCTGCTGAAGGAAAGGGAGCTAAAATCAATCTCACCTAGGGGCTGCAATTCCCTTCTTGCATGCAATCTTCGTGCAACTGGTGGCAGAAACCTGATCTGCATGGCCTGAATACCAGAGACCCAAAAGATGTTTCAATATTTATGGAAATGAACAGCTGCCCTTGCTCATGTGCTGAGTATTTCCAAGATCTATACTTCTGTGCACTTACCATGATGAACACTGAGTAATGTACAGAAATGCTGAATCAGTATATTGTACACCTGTAACTAATATAACACTGTATGTTAACTATATTGGGATTAAAATTAAAAACTTAATTAAAAAAAAGATGTATGTTTCTGAGTCTGCCACTTTTGGACTGGGACATGAAGAGTACAGAAGATCTTACTGGCATCAGTTCTTAAGCTGGAAAAAACTCCTAGAGCCTTCATACTCTTCTCCTTTGGACTTTAGTTCTCCAAAAAGGGAACGTGCATGTGTGTTACTGGGGTCTTGCTTCTCAGCCTAACTCTCCCTCTAAAAGGCTCCGTGTACATGCGTGGCAACTTCCACCTGAGGTGTTACGTTAAAGATATGTAAAGGTCACTTTGGTCTGAATCAACATCCATAAAACCTGGGGGAAGTTACTAGTCTTATCACTTTTTATTTGGCTATGCAATATGTGGAAGAGAAAAATAGGGAGAAAAGACCTACCCAAATTCTGCCACATGCTGAACAGTTCATAAGCCATCATCACACGCATGTCCCCATACCTGGAAATAATAACACAGGATCCAGCTTTCAGTGGGAGAAAGTTCAGGAAGGTGGGGCTATAAACCCAATAAGGCTAGCACTTCAGCACTGTCTCTAATGCTTCCCCCAGCACTACGTCATTTGGCTGTCAACTGAACTCTCACATTTGGCTCTTTGGAAAGCTACCCAGTGAGAACCTTGTGGACTTCTGAGGAACCACTCATGGAAACATAACCCTATCTGGATGTGTGGTAGGGAGGTGAATAAGAAACATATGTCTTACTTATCTATAATCTTCTTCCTCTTGGCTGAAGTGATGATTTCTAGCTGAAGGCTTGGCTGATTTATGAACAGAACTGCCAGGCTAAAATAAGAATTCCACACCTAGAGAGACAGAGAAAGAGAAAACTTGTGACAGCCCAAGTCCTTAACCTTGCAAGGAGAGATTCTAAATATATGGATGTAGCACAGAATTCATTTTACAATTTTAAGATTTTGGTTTTTTTCCTTTATAAATGTCTTTGCAAACAACTTTTTTTTTTTCTTGACTCCTCTTAAAACCAATAGTGTTGTTTCTGGCCTAGAAAGCCTACTCCTGGATGTCTGGTTCCCAGTACCTCCAAAAGGGAGACTCTTGGGTCATATCCTAGTCATTATCAAACTTGGAAGTGGTTCAATACTATGAGCATATTAATAAAGCAAAAGCCCAGTGAGCCTGCCCTAGCTCCCAGCCACACATCTGACACCTAGCTAAGTCCATCTCAAATCCCTGACCTGAAAAATTGTGAGTAAAATAAAATGGTTGTTAATTTTAAGTAAAACAAAAACAGGAACAAAAACAGTGAGCTTGTTTTTAGGCTTTCTACTGTTATTACAAATATAGCAATGGATCTCAGGAGCTCCTACCTTAAAGTCGAAGTCTGTCTCTGTAAAATTCTTGTGCAGTGCAGAAGACAGGTACTGGACAGTAGTGACTATAATACTGTAGTAAGGGAACAAGGCATTGGCAGAGTTAAAACACTAACAATGGCATCTGTCAACTTAGCATCTATGACCTATGAGTAAACATCTTGAGTACAACTTGCTCTCATATAAGATGTAACTATGAGGGAAATGGATAGATGGCAGAAACCTCACAGAAAACTGGTCTTGGAGAAATGCTCCATAGTTGGCAGGACAGCATAGAACATCAGTGGTTCTAGGCCTGGCTCTGCCATTACCTGACCTTGGTACAACTTCTGCCTGAGCCCAAGGGTCCCTCCCTATAACAGGGGGTGGGGGAAGTTAGTTGGTTCTTTAAGATTTCTTCTAGTTCAAAGAGTGATTCTAGTATTTTGAGGACTTTTGGGTAATGAATGTATATAATGACTACCAGAGAACTTAGAGAATAATTTTATTATTTTACTTGATAATAAGGGTTTATAATGATTAAATCCCTTTTATCATAAACTCTTATCATATACTATTATTTTTATCTATAAGTCATTTGTTTTCAGCCTTTGGTCTAGAATATCACTCTCAATTTTAGCCTGGGCAAATACAAGGAGCAATGGGAGCCTGGCTTGCCAGAGTCAAGGGCACAGGTTAAAGCAGAGAGGAAATGAAGTGGGACAGGCAGGTAAGGGTTTGATTACAGAGGGCCTTAGGTGCCAGGCAAAAGAATGTATGTCTAACACTGACTACCCTGGCTTTGGTGCAGAAGAGAGGCAAGGCAAAAAAAAGTGCATTAGAGAGACCAGTCCACCAGCACAGGAAGTAACAAATTTGAAAGGTAAAAGCCTTAAAAGAAGAGGCTGTTGCTGTAGGATGGGCTGAGGAGGACCATGAAGTGCTCTGAGTAGAGCTAAGAGAAAGAAACAAAAGAGAGTCAAATGGAAAATCCATGATTTGAGGAAATACATGTGCAACTTTGTTTATAACCATTCTTCTGTTCTCTATAAAATGTTTGCAATTTTGAAAAAAGAAAAAAAGTGCTCCATAAAAGATACAAAGTAGAAAGACCGTACTGATACCTTGTGAATATCTAACATAAATAATGTCACTATGTTACATGTATTGCCAACATAAAAAGTGAATCAGTGGGAGAAGGCTGAGGGCTAGAAAGTGGAAACCAAGTGGCCTTCTCCTGAGTGGAGGGAAACCAGATGAGTTAGCACCTTACCACCTGCATCACTCTCCTGGTTTGCCAATTAGAAGTACAGGCTAGAAATATGAATGGAACAGGCGATCTGGGAGCAGTCTAAGGGTGAATTCTGTGGCTGGACTCAGAAGTGGTCAAAGCCTTATAGCCAGGTCTCGGGTGCGTAATGAGCATTAGCTGTGGGAGGCAAGCAATATCTGGCAGACAACACAAATCAAATGAAGAGGAGGGCTTGGGATACTGCTTGCAACTAGAGAGCAACAAAAGCCAGTGGTCCATGAAACAGGTCTTTCTCAAGGAGGAACCTTCTCTGGGTATTATTATTTCACATCCTTTGTATTCCTTTTCTATATGAACCATGGGATCATCTGCCAGGCACTTAAGACTCCATTTTGAACTATCTTCAATGCTTTCTTCTTGAATTTATGGTAAACAGTCAAGTCCTGCTGATTGTGCCTCCAAACATTTTTCACATTTACCCTATTCTCTCTGTCCCCAAGGCCTTGGCAATCATCTCTGTCTTGCTTTCTCTCTGCCTCTCACACACACTCTCTCTCCTTAGTCTGAGAATAGCTCTGTTGATGCTGGTGCTTCCACACTCACTTGCTTGTGAGAAGTCTCATCACCATCCAGTCCCGAGGGAAGACACTCATCTTCATCAGGTTCCGGAACACACAGAAAATCTTCAGCAGGAATTCCTGATCCAGGAGGAAAATCTGATGTGAGATACCACCACTACTACTACAGCATGCATTTCCTCAACAGGGCTTTCCTGACCTCTAGACCATAAGAATGGGTGGAATCAGTGGGTCAGATTCCGATTCCCTTTGTGAGTTACTTCTCTTTTAGAGGACTGCATGAGAGTCAGATGTAGGCTAGATGGGAGAAGACCCAAACTGGGTAGAACAGATGCAGCTCTGTACCCACTGAGCCTAGTACCTAAATCCCAAAGCATAGGGAAAGTTACAGCCCATCAGAACCGGTATCCAACTGGGTCTGTGGGTCTCATTCTTTGAGTCCTGGTCCTTGGGCACTTGATGCTAAGAATCTGCTTTCGTGGATGTTAAGAACACACTGACAGGAGAAGCACTTTAGGAATGGCAGAATGAAGACCTCCAAAAATGTGCTCCTATATGAAAGCAATGAGAATACGGGCAAAGACAGGTTAAGCAAGGAGTTACAACAATCCAAGGAGTGCTATTCAAGAAAAATGGGTTGAATCTTAGTAGGAACAGTGGACTTCATTGCATTTTAATTTGCCCTATTCTTATCCCCTTCTTCTTCCTACCTCCATGGTATCCCTGAAAACAAGCAACTGCAGAACTACAGTAGTAGTGAAAACCAGCAGCTTAGCATTCACTAGAAGGGACAAAATGGTTTTGGAGCTCCCTCAAAAGTGCTGTCCTCAGAAAATTATTAACTTTTCTATCTGTCTGGCAGCAACCTAGGAAATTCCCATTCAGAGAGCTTATTCGATCTGGTTCAGAGCTTACTCAATGAGAAGAGCCTTTTACTTGGGGGCATTTATTGGGGAAAAAAATCAGCCATAAGGATTTAACATCCTAGCTGCATGAAGAGGCCATATCAGAACACGTAAGAAAATTGCCAGAAGAGTTAAAAGAAAATCTGGGGAATGAGATATATATATCTATATATAGATATATATAGATATATATAGATATATATATATATATATATCTATATATATCTATATATAGATATAGATCTATCTATCTATATATATGTATGTATAGGGACTTTGAAAATCTCTGACATATACGTGGGAATCTGGAAGTCCACACACGTTAGGGCTGTACATATTCCAAGGAAAGACCGAAGAAACCTAATCTCTCACCCTGGCTGACTTTGTGGCTCTATGAGAAGTAGGAAGTGAAGGCTAAGGCAATAATGTAAACTGCTGGAGCACTGAAGGTGAGACCCAATACATGCATACAGACATTTAGCAAAGTATCAAAGACTTATTGGCTTAAGGCATTTAAGGAAATCTCTGTCCAGGTGTTAGCTGACCACTAAGCTAACTGAATGAAGACCTCAGTGGCTTCACACAACAAAGAATACAGACATTAAAGAATTAGTCCAGGAAAGTCACTAAACAAGCAAGTAAACAAATATCAATAACAACAACAAAACAAAAAAAAGCAACAACAACAAATCCTGGGATGTGGGGTGGGGTGAGATCTGATTTCCAGAGTTGCCACGTTATTTACATTTTCCAGTTTTCAACAAAAAAATTGTAAGATGTGAAATTAAACATGAAAGTATGACCCATACACAGGAAAAAGAAGTCAAGAGAAACTTTACCTGAGGTAGCTCAAATACTGGACTTACTAGGAAAAGACTTTAAATCAGCTGTTATAAATACCCTCAAAGAACTAAAGGAAACCATGCCAAAGAATTAAAGGAAAGTACAAGGACAATATCTCACCAAATAGAGAATATCAATAAAATAGATATAAATTATTTAAAAAGCATTAAATAGGGGCGCCTGGGTGGCGCAGTCGGTTAAGCGTCCAACTTCAGCCAGGTCACGATCTCGCGGTCCGTGAGTTCGAGCCCTGCATCAGGCTCTGGGCTGATGGCTCAGAGCCTGGAGCCTGTTTCTGATTCTGTGTCTCCCTCTCTCTCTGCCCCTCCTCCGTTCATGCTCTGTCTCTCTCTGTCCCAAAAATAAACGTTGAAAAAAAAAATAAAAAGCATTAAATAGAAATTTTAGAGTTTAATAGTACCATACCTAAAATGTAAATTTTGCTAGAGAAGCTCAACAGCAGATTTGAACTGACAGAAGAAAGAATCAGGAAATTTAAAAGATAGGTCAACTGAGATTGTTCAGAGGAACAGAAAGAAAAAAATGGAGAAAAACAAACAAAGCATGAGACCTGTGGGACACCACCAATTGTAAAAACATACAAATAATAGGAGAATCAGAAAAACAAGAGAGAAAAAGAGGAGGAGATGTTGAAGAACTTTTTGAAGGAATATTGGTTAACCCAAATTTGATGAAAAAACTCCAATTACACATCCAAACAGCTCAATGAACTCCAGATAGGATAAGACCAAAGAAATCTACATACAGACATATCATAGTGAAACTGCCAGATGCCAAAAACAAAGAGAATCTTGAAAGCAACAAGAGAAAAATAATTTATCATGTGCAAATGATTTTCAACGTTTATTTATTTTTGGGACAGAGAGAGACAGAGCATGAACGGGGGAGGGGCAGAGAGAGAGGGAGACACAGAATCGGAAACAGGCTCCAGGCTCTGAGCCATCAGCCCAGAGCCTGACGCGGGGCTCGAACTCACGGACCGCGAGATCGTGACCTGGCTGAAGTCGGACGCTTAACCGACTGCGCCACCCAGGCGCCCCAAATGATTTTCCATAATAGGTAACTTACCAGCAGATATGATGGAGGCCAGAAGGTATTAGAATGACATATTCAAAGTACTGAAATAACATGAACATGAATATCTCGCTAATGATAGCGAGACTATCATTCAAAAATGAAGACAAAATTAAGACATTCTTAATGTAAAGAAAAATGTAATGTAAAAAAAAAATTCTTAAGAGTAAAAAAAAAAAAAAACCCAAAACTGTGAGAATTTATTAGTAGACCTGCCCTATAAGAAATACTAATGGGAGTTTCTCAGACTTAAATAAAAGTAACTTAATTGATATAAAGAAATATAAAACACTAGGAAAGGTGACTATATAGGTAAATATAGAAGATAGTATATATGTAAATTCATTTACTCTTTTCCTTTTTGATTTACAAGGCAACTGCATAAAGCAATATTTATAAAACTATGTTGATGAGATTATAATATATAAATATGTAATTTATATGACAGTAACAGCACAAAAAGGGGAAAGAACTGGAGTTTTATTGGAGCAAGGTTTTGTATACTATAAAATGAAATTGGTAGATAGTTTTAAGATGTTAATTGTAATTCCCAGGGCAATCACTAAGAAAATAACTTTAAAAATATACTAAAAGAAACAATGAAGAATTAAAATGGCACACTAAAAATATTTATTTAACATAAAACAAGGGATAAATGGAGGAAAAGAGGGACAAAGAAGATATAAGACAGATATGAAACAAACAGCAAAATGGCAGATGTACATCCTAACTTATTGGTAATTACAGTAAATGTAAATGAATGAAACATTCTAATCAAAAGGCAGAGATGGAAAGATGGATAACAAATAAACATTATCCAATTATATGTGGTCTACAAGATACATACTTTAGATTCAAAGACATAAATATATTGACAGTAAAAGGATAGAAAATATACTCAATGAAAATGGTACCCAAGAGAGCTGGTATGGCTATATTGATATTAAACAATATAGACTTTAACAAAAACTGTCATTAGAGACCAAAAAAAAAAAAAAACCATTTTATAATAACTAAAGAGCCAATATGTTTTAAAGACTTAATTATTAACATATATGCATTTAAAAAAGAACCCCAGAACACATGAAGCAAAATCTGACAGAATTAAAAGGAAAAATAGACAATTCAACAATGGTAGTTGGAGGCTTCAATATACCACTTTCAATAATGTATAGCACAACTAAATAGAAGATCAGCAAGGAAAAAGAAATCCTGAACAATACTATAGACTAATTAGACCTAATAGACATATAAGACACTCCATCCCACAATAGCAGGATACACATAGAAGGATATATGCATTCTCTTCTCTAGGACAGAATGTATGTCAGTCCATAAAAAAAGCCTCAATATATTTAAGAGAAATGAAATCATATAAAGCATGTTCTTCAACCACTATGGAAGGGAGTTAGAAATCTATAGTAGAAGGAAATTTGGGAAAGTAAAACACATGTGTATTAGGGGGTGCATGGGTGGCTCAGTTGGTTAAGCATCCATCTCTTGATTTCCACTCAGGTCATGATCTCATGGGTTGGTGAGTTCAAACCCCACACTGGGCTCTGAGCTGACTGTGGAGTCTACTTGGGGTTCTCACTCTGCCCCTCACCCTGCTTCGGTGTTTGCTTGCTCTCTCTCTTCCTCTCTACTTGGGGTTCTCTCTCTGCCCCTCACCCTGCTTCAGTGTTTGCTCTCTCTCTCTCTCAAAATAAATAAATTAAAAAATATATGTGAATTAAACAATAAACTCCCAAATAACCAATGGGTTAAACAAGAAAGCACAAGTGAAACTAGGAATACTTTGAGATGAATAAAAATGAAAACATCAAATCAAAATTTATGGGATGAAGCTATGACTTATAGCTATAGTGCCTACATTAAAAAGAGATAAGGTCTTGGAGTGCCTGGGTGGCTTAATTGGTTGAGTAGCTGACTTTGGCTCAGGTCATGATCTCACAGTTTGTGAGTCTGAGCCCCACAATGGCTGGCTGCTGTCAGCACAGAGCCTGCTTCAGATCCTCTGTCCCCCTCTCTCTCTGCCCCTCCCCCACTCATGCTCATTCTCTCCCTGTCTTTCCCTCTCAAAAATAAATAATAAAATAAAATAAAAAGAGTTACAATCTCAAATCAAAACCCACCTTACACCTTAAGAAACTAGAGAAAGAAGAGCAAACTAAACATAAAGCAAGTAGAAGGGAATAATAAGTGAAACAGAGAGAACAGAACAGAGCAAAAAATGAAACCGAAAGTTGATTCTTTGAAAAGATCAACAAAATTGAC